TACCCACATTCAATCCTTGTAGGCTTTTAAAGAGGAGATGATTTTTATGCTTTAACCAGTCACTCGTCCTCTTCCTCCTCTTCTTCTCTCCCTCTTTTCTTTCTTTCTTTTATTTTTTTTTTTTAAGTCGGACACAAGCTATGAACCATCTGGGGAGTGCTGAGCTGTTTTTAAAGCACTTTTATCAGTGTCCAAAGAAATTGCCCTACAGTAGCACTATTCTCTTTTCTAGTTTGTCAATTTCTAACTCTCAGTCTCTACAATTTCAAGTATATTTTAGAGATATTTTTCCTTGCTTTTTCAGAAAGCATATTAATAACGACATAAAGTGGAATGTGTTTTTCAAAATGACCACTCTGACTAGAGGAAGAAAGAGTGAAAAATTATTGTAATCTTACCATCAGAAGCACTCCCTGTTGCAGAAACCCCATGGCATTTTTATGGAGTCACTCTACTCTTCAGAAATTTTACATCTCTTAATTGAGAGAGAGAGAGAGAGAGAGAGAGAGAGAGAGAGAGAGAGAATTGTTCTGGTAGATGCAGCCCAGTTCAAGGCCCTTTGCATTTTCTCTGAGAAAATCCATCTCAAAATCACAAGCTGATTGGGATGAGCTAAAAATTGGATTATATCCACAATAAAAATTAAATTCCTCAACCCTTAACAAACAGAAGATTTATAATGTGCATCACTGAAATTCTAGGTACACGGAAGTTTAAGTTGAGAATAAAAATTACGAGCAAAAACTCAGCTTGTTTCTGAGAGGAGAAGCTCGGAATGATACTGTGACATCAGGGTTTCTGTTTATCCCTAAGGCTGATGCAGCAACGACTTCAAAGTTTGATGTTGTTTTTTTTCTTCTTCTTTTTTACTTTTTCCCCCTCCAAAGATGTTGAGCAGCAGGCTAATGGCTCCCCAGCAGGGTGCAGAGGCAGCAGAAAGCACAGGAATCAGATGTCAATGTATTCCTCAGAGACACCCTGCTAGGACAGAGCTAACTAACCAGGGCTTCAGGCTTCTCTTGGGGAACACGCTTTGCTGGTTCCCTGGCCACTCCTGGCTTTCCATGCTTCCCGATTAAAATGCTGTCACAGATAAATCATGACTTCTGCCTATTGGGACTGTTTTCTTTCTTCCTTCCTTTCTTCCACCCTCCCAGTTTTTTTTTTTTTTCTTTTTAAAGAAAAGTTTGGAACCATAAGGTTAAAAAAGTTCTGAGACTATTTACTCACGGGCAAGCATATGTATGCAGACATGTCCTATCTCTCCGTCCTGTGACCGTGCACGGGGCCGGGACATTCTCTGCACGAGCCTGCCCCACAAGGCCTGCTGGGAGGGCTAAAGCAATGCCTCAAGTGGTGGCCCTCTTTCTCCACATGGGGTGAAATCCATCAACATGTTTTCAGTACTTTCGTAAACAGGGCCCACACATCATTTATATATTTTCATATACTATATTTTCTGTCAGTCACTGTTAAAGTCAATCACTTGATTACTTCGGTAACTTCTTTTTTGGGGGGGTGGGGTACCGGGATCCTTGTGCTTGCGCAGCAGGTGGTGGAACCACTGAGCTAAATCCCCAGCCCTCCTTTGGTAACTTGTTAATGAATAGACTTTATGGGCGGGAAATTCCTCATCTTCCCCCACAGTATCATAAACTGACTGGGAAATGAGGCTGTGACACAGATAAGAACTGTGATTTTACATGCGGGCGTATCCAAAACACTGGTGTGAGTTTTCTCCCAGGCACACAGATAAGGGGCCCTTCCTGCACCTGAGATTAGTGACAACTTGAACCTTGCTTCGAGGAGGAACGAAACTCAGCAAGCAGGAGCACAAACAGAAAGTGTACGTATGATCTGTTAGAACGTTTGACAAGCAGAACCCTTTTAAAACTATGAAGTAAAACGGAATTACTCAGTGAAAGTCTGTAAAGTCAAAACGCTGCACTAAAATCCTATTTGTTGTATCTCTTGCCCGGCTGCATGCTGCCCTTGTCTGCCTGGCTCCCTATTCTGTCCCCCTCCAGCCCAGAGCAGCCTCCAGGCCCGTAGTCTCTGTCCACATCCACATTCCTTGGCCTGCAGGAGGGAGGACCTGTTCTCTCTATGACAGTCTGCCTGCTTACGCTCTACTGTGAGGTATTTTTGCCACCTATCCCTGCTGCCTCTAGGTACAGGGTTTGGTTATTAGAGGGGACAGACTTTGTCTCACTGTGTCCTTTTGCCATATGTTTTGGTCAATTTAGCAAGGCCAAAGTGGGATCTTGTGCTCTGTAGTCCAGACCAGGTGCTCTTAGTCCAGTCACAGCAGGGATTCCTGCCCTCTGCATACTTCCCTGTTTGCCTTCCAGACTCTCAGACCCTTGTTATTGCACTCGTATGTTCAAAACCCCAAACTGGCCTTTTAGCAACGAGCAGAGTTGCCTCAGATGTTCTGCTTTAGTGACCAGTGTTCCATCAGTGACTTTCCTTGCTTGTCATTTCCTCAAGATTTTGTCTTCCCATTATTGGTGATTCTTGCCCAGTGACTGATCCCATTTCAGTTCTGGAGCAATGACAATTGATGGAAGATTATCTGATTATATAGGTGTGGGAAAAACCTGCAGTGTGAGACGGAATAAGGCAGGGAGCCTCAGAGAGATGATTTAAACCCATGCCACAGTTTCAGTTTGAGGGCTCTTTCAAAAGTTGATATCAAAGCCTTGTAAAGAATTTACAAATGAAATTGTGAAATTAAAAATTCAGTGGTGATAAAAAATTTAAAAAGGGCAAGATTTCATCCTCTGTTAAATGGGAAGAACCCAACAGCAAGTATGAATATGAGCTTGTGCAAACAGCTGTGTGGTCCCCTTTAGGATGACATGCTTCTCCCCAGGAAGAAAAAACGGTGGGAGAAGTTCCCACCAGAAGCGGAGTGGGCCGGCTGAAAGGCCACTACACCCAAACCAAGGCCATGGTGAGCAGGACACAACTCTAATTTGGCAGGAACATCACTTGTCTTAGCCTTTCTTTATGTTAACTTCCTATGAATGAAAATAGCAGGCTATTCAACCTCACAGATGAGCAGTAAAGGAAGATAGGCTGATATGTAATATGGCCTGGTGGTAATATTACTCCCTAAATCCTACACACTTATTTTTCAGTTTAAATTCAAGTAACTTCCTTTTTCTTTTTTCTGGTACTGGAAATCAAACTCAAGTGCACCTTGCACTTGCCAAGTAACTTCCTTTTTAACCTGAAGATTTCAAAGCATTTAGTAGAAAGTATATGATAAACCCAAATAATTGTGAATCAGTAATGAAACAAATCAGTATGGAAAAAGCTCATCAGGCCTCTTTGTGGCATTTACTATAACAAATCACATAAGAAGTGTGTGTATTTCAGTTCACTCCAAAGGAGCTTTGCAAACTAGTATCCCATATTAAACAGCCCCACAAATACATGCCTTCACACTCCCAAACCCTACTCCCAATAAAAGAAGCTATTGCAAGAAGAACTGACTCATCCCATTTATTGCCTAAGTGTGCACAGGAAACTGAATAGCATTAAAAAATAACCCAGTGTGGGTAGTCAGGGTCAAATTAGCAAAGCAAGAGATTCCTGACCCAACAGCTGTGGGCTTTATAATTACACAGGGGCCCAGCTTATTTAGCAACATCAAAGGTTGGAGGAGCAAACAAGAAGAGAGAGTTGATGGCCCCCTTAGAATCGAGCACATATCATTCTTGATTTTTTTGCCCATATTTCATTATTAAATGAAAGAACATTATGATCATTTAAAACTAAAATAATTTATTTTAGATTATTTTAAAACTATATTTGGCTGATTTTATGTATTAGGAATTTAATGGGTGTACAAAACAAAAAATGAATTTACTTTTGTTATTTATAGTTACTCAAAATTACACTTCCATCTTCAAGACAATCTTCTGATTTGTTTGTTTTCAGGGTACTGTGACAGGGACCAGCAGTTCCTAAAAGTACTGAAAATGAAGTGGTAGATAAGTTTGAAACTTAATGATTGTGAGGTCCTTAAAAAACAATACTGTGCTCTTAATGGAGTTACACAGAGTGAGAAGCTAAAGAGGCTCTGCTTTCCCCACAGGTTTCTCCCTTTGAAGTTAGAAAAGCACTTCAGTCTGATTGAGCTAGGTTGGGGGTAAGGAACTCGCCAGGTTTTACAAATGAAAGCAAGTGCTTAGAAGTAGAATTAAAAGCCAATGTACACTAAACTATTAGTGTTATGCCAGCCCTAATCCGTACTCAAAAAGTGGTGTGTGAACCATTCAAAGCTGACACTGGTCTCCTTGCCAGCAGCAGGTTCTGCACACCAGGCAGCAGAGCTAGAAATCATTAGTATGCCTTGTTCAGAATTCAGTGGTCAAACAGCATTGCATACATTTCAGAGAGGGGCAGATTTTGCACATGGAAGGTGCTTCATATAAGTCCCCTGGCCAAGACCATGGGATCAGAGCAGAAAATCATGCTTTGTAGAGCCCTTGTGTCTCATATGATATTAATAAAAATATAAGAAAATTGTAAACATTTTAAAAAGATTTCTATGGTCAAACATGTTCGAGAAATTCAGAGTTAGGGTCAGGTAAATTTCTTTCCTTCATGACTTCTGTAAGCTTTTGAAATTTTAATATTTTGAATATCTTTGTTATTGGACCTGTGACCTGTTTTTGAAGAGAGAGGCTGTTAGACTACACTTGTGTTCCATGGGATACAGTTTGAGAAATACTGAGATGACATATTATTATCTCTGGTTTACATATGAGGAAGACAAGACCCATGGAGATTATGTCCTATGCAGTAGTAGAGAACTCAGGTCTCTCGTTTCCAACTCGGGTCAGAATTCCAAGGAAAACAAAATGCAGCCAAGGCCTCAGCAACATCCATCCTCTAGATCTAAAATGAATGCTTCTGAAAGTGCCTTACACACACTGTTCCTTTTCTGGCTCAGTCAGGACATGCAGGCCCTCCCAAATCACAAGTACCTGATACAAAGGCATGCAGATGCTATCAATCCACTCCAGTTGCAACCGAGGTAGTTCATCTTTCCGGTTCCGATCAAAAATAGCCTAGAAAACAGAAGGACAACCTTGCTTTATTACCCTGGAGTATTTTACAGGTGCTCTGTCAAACACTGCCACAGTGGTCCAATTTTTACCAAGTGAGCCCTCCACAAATCACAATCAATCTTTACACTAACCTTTTTTCTTTTATCTAAGATGAGAAATAAAGTATTCCCCTTTTTTTATGAGATTTGTAAGTGAATTTATTTGAACTTTATAGTACGCCACATCTAGAGGCCAAAATCTCTCTTTAGATGCAGGTATCTGCTACTAAATCAAGTCATCAGGTCACTGGAAATTGGGTACAAGTCAAGGGGAAGGGGACATATTTTATTGCCACAAAAATAAAACAGGCTTTTATTTCTATACTGAAAGAATGGGGCAGAATGGGTTAGATTGGAAAAAATCCTTATATTTTAAAATTTGAAATAGAAACTATGTTATTAATTTTTAGGCTGAGGAGTTAGTTTAGCTATTGTGTGTATTTTTTGGTAACAGTCTGTTATTACTAAATTCCCAAGTATTTATCATTGGATGGATGATGGTAGGAGGCACCCATTCTTCACTCTCAGCCTTAAACTTTGTCATGTTATAATGTTTGATATAATTTAGGTATATTTTTGAGAAAAAGATGTGACATATTTTCTGTTGGACAGACTCGACAGAGAAAACAATCAGTTGGATTTGGAGGGTCAACACAGATTGCCTGAATAAAGTCAGTCAATTCCACTGCAGTGGGGGTGTCTCTCCCTTGTACTTAGAGAATGAGGTCTGGGCCTGAGAAACTACCCTGTGACCTTACTTATCTGGAAGAAGGCAGTACCTACTTAAGATTTGCCTTATGTTATTATCTTAGAGTGGGCTGTGTCTTTCAACTACATAAAATGTAGTATCCACACCATTTTGGCATCCTAACTGGTCATGAGGGCAGGTCCAAGTATCCCCTTGAGTGACAGATGTTGGAAATGCCTGCATCCTTCAGACTTATCAACTCCAAAAGGAGTGCTTGAGACAGAAATCAGTAGCTACCACATCTGAGGAAAATAGCTCTAAACTTGGGATAAGGTCACTGACTCCCATAGCCTCTGCTCATCCTTATCTTGTACTGTGAAATGCCCACCTTCTTTTTTTTTTTTTTTGATACTGGGGATCAAACTCGGGACCTTGCATTTGCAAGGCAGGTGGTGGAAGCTAAAGCCCCAGCCTATGCCCACCTTCTTAATGCAGCATAGCAGAGATTCAATTTCAATACATGAGACCCTGGAAGACATTTTTTTTTTCTTTTTGGTACCAGGGATCAAACTTGGGTCTTTGCGCTTGTGTAGCAGGCGGCGAAACCACAGAGCTAAATCCCCAGCCCAATGGAAGACATATTTAAACCATATCCAAGCCGTAGCATTTAAAAAAAATCTTTTGTCTATAGCTCTCTTTGCTTTCTGAATTATTTATTTATTTATTTTGTTAGTTTCTGGTAAGTATTATATACAAATTTCTTTTCTTTTTTGGGGGGGGTACTGGGGATTGAACTCAGAACCTTTCGAGGCAGGTGGCAGAACCACTGAGCTAAATCCTTGGCCCTACAAATTTCTTTTTAATTCACCAATTCTTAGTAAATTCACAGAGTTGTACAATTATCACCATAATCAATTTTAGAACATGTTTATTGCTCCCCAAAGAAACCCATACCAATAGCAGTAACTTTTCATTTTCTCCCAAACTCCTAGGCTTAGGCAAGGACTAATCTACTTTCTTTCTATGTAGATTTGCCTATTCCACATATTTCATGTAAATGGAATCACATGATATGCTTGCTTTTGTGACTGGCTTTTTTCACTTAGCAGGTTTTCAAAGTTTATCCATGTAGCATACATCAGCACTCTATTTATTTATTTATTTTTGGAAATGATATTCCATCCAACAGATATGACATGTTTTATTCTTCAATTGATAGGCATTTGAGTTATTTCCACTTTGGGGTTATCATGAAAAAGTATGCTATTAACATTCATGTGAACATTTTTGTGTGTATGCATGTTTTCACTTCTTTTGGGATATACTTAGAAGTGGGATTCTCAAGTCAAATGGCAACTCTATATTTAACTTTTTGAGGAAATGCCAACTATTTTTTTAAAGCTGATACATTATTTTACAATCCCACCAGCAATGTGTGAAGTTCAATTTCTCCACCACCTCACCAACATTTGTTATTGTCTATCTTTTTAATTATAGCCTTCTTAATGGGTTTGAAGTGGTATTGCACTGTGGTTTCAATTTGCAGTTTTGTGATGGCTAATAATTCTAAGAATCTTTTCACGGGCTTATTGGCCATTTATATATTATGTTTGGAAATGTGTCACTTTGCTCATTTTTTAACTTGAGTTGAGTTATAATTATTCATTTTTTTATTTTAAATACTAGGCCATTTCAGATACACAATTTGTAAATAAATTCTCCCCTCTGTAGACTGTTTTTCAATTTCTTTAATTTTCTCTTTTTTTTTGTACCGGGGATCGAACTCAGGACCCTGCACTTGCAGGGCAGGCAGTGGAACCACTGAGCTAAATCCCCTGCCCTAATTTTCTTTTAATTTTGATAAAATCCAATGCCTTCACACAAACATCTCTGGGCTATTTTATCTTTTGTCTTTTGTGCTTTTGGTATCATATCTAAGACATAATGGAACAAATCAAGCCCAGAGAGCTATACCTGTATTTTCTTTGAAGATTTTTATTGCTTTAGTTGTTACACTTAGGTCTATGATCCAATTTGAGTTTATTTTGGGGTATAGTAAGAGGTAGGGCAGCAACCTCATTCTTTTTGCCTTGAATATCTTTCCTGAACCATTTGTTGAAAAGACTATTTCCCCCCACTATACTGTCTTGACATTCATGTTGAAATCAGTCCACCATAATTTTAAGAGTTTATTTCTGAACTTCTTAACCAATGTTTTGTGAGAGAAAAATAAGCCTAGGACAATTTGCCTCCTAAAAATAAAGGGGAAGTAGATACAGCAGGATTTAGCTCTGGTTGCCTGTCCTTCCAAGCCTTTCTGGAAAAGGACACATGAGGTATATCCTGCCTCCCACAGCAGGTCATCACCTGTCTTAAGTAATCTTTTGTGAGGAAAGAGTGGCATTTAAAGCTACATTTCCACTACAAAATTAATTTAATTTACATCTTCAGAAAATGCCATACCTGAGTCTACAGAGAATGGCTCCTAGCACCGCACCACTGCACCCTCATGCTTGCCAACCCTGGCCAGTTACTAGTATTTTTTCATTTAATTTAATGACCTGTGATATGACTGTACTGTGAGCCTTCCAGGGTATGCATCTGAAGCACTTTTTAAAAGGAAGGAAAAGCGTTTTTAAAAATGTAGGTATGTAGCTGAGAGAAATCTGGATTGTCCTAGATTTTACACATGAACTATATGTAATCTAGTATCTTTATTTTTATAGCCAAATTTGGTGACAACACCAAAAAAGAAAAAGGATGTTTTGAACGCTGTGTAAGTGTATATTGCTTTGAAAACTAAAATAATTTGTGTGTGGGTCAATCGTTATAGTCTTTGTACCTTTTATAGGTAAACAACTGTTTAAGAATAGTCAAAGTGAGTAGGATCGAGAGAGTTCTGACTTCAAACAGGTTAAACTATCAAGCTAGGAGACAGTTTCATTGCTTTCTCTTGCTTTCAATTGTCAACAAGGTTGTCTTAAAACTCAAAGATTTTACAAATGCCTCCAAATGTTCAAGACTTGGTTGATTCCAATCCTCAAAAACAGGCATTCCTGACAACTGACACATTCCTTGAGCTTCACTGAACCCACTGTGCTGCGCCCGCAGTCTTTAGAATACTTTGAGTCACTCTCAGAGTGGTGTTTTAGCTAATCATTCATTAAGAATAAAGAGGCTGCCCCCTCTCTGAGGGTGGTGACCGAAGCATTGATGTCTTCTGTGTTCCCATGCATAGAAATAGCAGCACCCTAAGCCTACTGCAAGCATTCTCAAATAATAATTGAACGTGTGCTTCCAACATAAATAGCATTCCAATGGCCAGAACCTAGTTCCCCAGGTGAAACTTTCCATTTTGCAAACAAAGATACAGGTTTGAAATGATTCGCTTTTGGGATCTTTCAAATTCGAAACTGGAAAATAAACACTACCTCCTTAGGGCTGGACAGCTTGCCTTTAAAGTTTTGCCATGTTTCTAATCCAAAGTAGGCATGTATGAAACGCTGGCACTGAGCTGTGAACTATTCAGATTTCACTTTGCACGTCCTCCCCTGTGCCTACTTGTCCCACGGTGGGTGCTCAGGAAGTGCTTGTTAAGTAGCTTACTACTCTTAATCGGAAACCTGAGAATAAGGGTACTTAGCGTTTAAGCTTAATTAAAGTTTTAAACTTTTGGGAGTTTTTCCTCAAATCTGTCCTCAGTCTTTTCTGTTTTCAAGTTACGATTTTGAGTTAGTTTTAAAAATGCCGTCCAAAAGATAAATTCATGATAATGAAAGGATGAACTTACTGAAGGAGTCAGTTTGAGTTCTGATCTCTCTCGATCTCCTTGTTCAAAGAACTCACTGGTTACAAGTTCAGCCACCTGAAATGTAGGAATATGTTAATTTACGTGTAGTTTACCACAAGGCCAGAAATTATTTCTAGCTCATGGACATGGTGATTATCTTCAACATAATCATTTAAAAAGCTTATGAGGAAGTACATTAACCTTCTGTGTTTAATGCTATTACAGAATTTAATCAACAAAACTGATTTCCTTTTAATGAGGAGAACTTATGCAATGTATTTTTAGATGTCACTACAAACACTCCGTAACTCCCTTCCTACCGACAGAATTTGCTCTTGGGAAGGGATAAACCCAGGGCACTCTCTGTGCTTCTTACTGTAACCAAGAGTAGGATTAATGCAAGATTCCCTGTTCCTACCAGACTTTTAAAGTATGTCATGAATTATAGTTTGAAGAACCTAGTCTTTGGGCTGTCTCAGTCTATGTATTAAAAGTGTTAATATACAGTAGGCCATTGTTACTCTAAGCACAGTGGAATTGTTGTTCTACCCCAAACCACAGAAGCCTGTAGATTCCTACCTTTCACCCATTAGGGAAATTAGTGATCAGCAGCCAAATCAGAGATTATTTTCTCTTCCCCCAGCCTCAACTTCTCAGGGTAGTTTGTGGAAACAACACTGATACAACAGATGCATGTTGAACAGGTATTTTCCACAACACTATGGTGTGCATCTAGAAAATCTCTGAATGAACGGGCTGGATTTACAAAATACTGGAAGAGTAGAAAAAAAAGTCCTAAACAATTGATAGCAAGAAGACCTGGATACCCAAAGTTGTTCTTCTCCATTCCACACTCTTAGAAATATCAGGCTCTTACATCTGGCAAAGGTGAGGTGGGTTTGTTTGCTCAAGTACACGGAATCAAGATCATTTACCCAGGTGTATCTCAGGAGATAGATCACACAAAAAATTTAAACACAGCATTCAACTCACACACACATACAGAAATCTGAGAGTAGCAAGCATGCAGTCATTTGTAAAGAAATTGCACACCCATTAAGTTCAGATTCCAAACATTTCTAACAAACCTGGGTCCCTATTAAGAATTCAACTCCTTAGAAGTATTTGGAAGTGACTCAAAAAACCACCCTCTTCCCCCACCCTCTGACCACCACAGCTTCACTTGTGCGATGTTGCTCATTCTTCAGGACTCTTTGCTTTTCTCCTCTCAGGCCTCTGCCACTACCTTTCCTTTTAGCACTCTAGGCCTCTTCTTTCGCTGGCCTTGCCTTTAAAGAATAAATGGTCCCCTTAGGGTACGGTCTCATTAATTCAGTTCTCAGAACTGTCTCTCAGCTTGCTCTGAAGCTGAGCCTTTTGCATTAAGGAATGTAAATGTGTGCATCAGGCACCCAAGGTAGGAGTCCTGCATAGGTCTGTAGCCCCTGGAAAGCAGACATTAAAAAAAAAATCTGTCCTTACTCTTTCCAAAGCAGTGCTGGGTACCTCCCCTGTGCTTTTTTCACAGTTTAACTTGTACCACTGTTTTGTTTGTACTTAAAACCTCAATCAGGAACATTAAGTGGCTCCTCATTGAATTTTTTATTAAAGAAGGAAATTGAGATGCTAATCAGGCCTTGGGGGAATCACTGGGGAAACCCACATGCTTAGAGTCATGTTTGTGAGAAAGAATAAGTGGAATAAACCCTAGGAAAAAAAAACATTTTTGAGAAAGAATTTGAAAATCTACATTCAGGAAGTTAGAAATGAATTTATATTTTTAAAAGAAGATTTCTATTGTTTGGTCCAAATGCTTTCTAAAACCAAGAAGTGAGTACAATTCTAAAGATAAACTATTCAATCTGGAGACAAACATGAATGAGATTTCCAGCTTAGACCTGTGACAAGATTTCTGATGGAAGCATTTGCAAAAACATGTCTTCATGTTTTATTTCTTTGAACTTTTAATGTTTTTGCACTTACCAGCACAATTTCAGATCCTAAAAAAATAATCAGGGGAAGTGGGAGAGGTAGGGGAAAAGAAAGAAGGGAATGGAATTAATATGAGAAAAAGAAAAAATGGAAACAAAGTCTTTGTAGATAGGGAGGGATGGAGGGGGTGAAGGGAGGGCAGGGGAAGGGGGAAAAAATAAGAACCAAGAGAGATTATGTAAAGGTGGAAATTTCCAATGATGAATGTCATTATATTGTATACCTTAAATGTACCGATAAAATTAATTTTAAAAAATAATAATGTTTATACCTGTGACTGAGAAGACCACTTACAACTGGCTATTGGTCCTCCCAAGTTAATCTAAAATATCAATGGGGAAACTGTGTTCTTTCCAAACACTTTGTCACTTTCCCGCCCCAAGTGAGCAACTGTACCTTTAGTTATTGATGTGCTATTTCACTGGGGGTTCTGGAGGCCCTGGCACTTCATCCCTTACGCCACTCCCTTTCCAATTTTTTCATCCCTTACCCCACTCCCTTTCTCTATTTTTTCCCAGTCCTCCTGACTTCCTTTCACTACCCACCCCTGCACCACTTCTATCCCTGTCAGAGCAGCCACCCCAGTACTATATTTTTCCTAATACCTGGGAAGAGCTGCCTACCCCTTCTCTGCAGTGTATTCTCAAACTCTACCTCTGTATATGGTGGGCACAGAGGTTGAAAGATGCTACTGAACCACACAAATTCTTCACAGTTATTCTACTTTATGTATCTTCTGGTGACTTCAAATATGTCATACTGAAAAATGAAATCAGCATTCATGTGGGCGAGAGCTTTATAAGAAAATTGCCTGATTGAATTAGACTGTGAGGTAAGCAAAAAATAAACCTCTGCTTGTGTTAAGCAGCTGAAATTTCAGAATATGTTAGTTAAACAGCAAAGCTGAGCCTAACCTGACTGACTAAAAAATTGATATGGAAGCTAGGTGCTGATAATGTTTTAAAAAAGAAAAGAAAGGAAAAGACCCTAAAATATGTTGCATCAGTTTGGGGGCCAGTATCAGATTAGAATGACAGACTATGTTATATAACTTTGTAAAATTATCACTGAAATAAAGCTAATAATGCTCTTAATTAATTTATAGCCTTAGGAGAAGAGATTGGAAAACAAATGTTCGTAGCATGCAATGATTCCTGTTGACTGTTTCCATATGTATTACTGGAATTCATCTTTGAAAAGGATCAGCAGACTTATAACTAGGAATGAAAAAGAACAGAAAAATTCAGTCTTGAAGATGTGGAAGATGAAGCTGTGCATCGACTTTAAACCATAAAAATTAAAATTAAGGTATGTTTTAAATGACAAAGATCAATTAAGATTTAGCCTGCAAAAGAATACAATTAGGGGTAGGGTCAGCACACCCACAGTTAAAAAATAAAGAATTAGGTGATGCACAGCATTTTGTTTTGTTTTGTTTTGTTTTGTTTTGCTTTTTAGCACCAGGGATCAAACTCGGGTCCTTGTGCTTGCCTGGCAGGTGGCAGAACCACTGAGCTAAATCCCTGGCCCTCACAGCATTTTTTTTTTTTTTTTCTGTATATCTTGCTTTAGAGCCTCAATTTTTTTTTTTTTTTTGCACAGTATATTTTTAAAAAACTGGACAAAAATGGTTCAAAGAAATGATTTCATGGCATGGTTTTCTTACTGAAACTTGTGAGACACATGATACTAGAATTAACTTATGCAAAAAAAAAAAAAAGAAAGAAAGAAAAGAAAAGAAATATGCTTGCTATATTTCTTATTCCTGAATGTAAGGAAGCAAAGAAATACAGAAATCTAATACAGGAAATCTATACAAGACAACAGTGGCTCTGGTTATTGGCAAATGGAAATGAGTAGAATCAAAGACAGAGAGAGCTGAATGACATTTAAGAGTATTTTAAGGCTAAAGAAAACACCAGCCTGTGACTATGTAAAGTAAGTCTTGGCCTCTCAGCCTTCTTTGGGTGAGCAGCAGTCTGAGAAATTTGCTTGACTGTCAGATAATACAAGGAGGATGACAGCAAAGGAGTGATTTCTCAGGGAGGATGTAAAGGCCTCAGAAAACAATGGACTGGGAAGAACCTCCCAGGGCATCATGCACACCACAGTGTGAAGGGCCCTCACAGTGAACACCGGTGGAATTTTGGAATTGCCATGGACCACTATCTACCAAATGACATCATCTCTTCCTTCTGACTGAGAGTGCTGTAATAGGTACTTTGTGTTTTGGGTGGGTGTTAGTCACTATTTTGGGTAGGCATAGGTCTTTAATTTGCATCCACACCTATTGCCCAGATGGGCACATAGCATCTAGACATTCTGGGTTTTGAATTTGATGACTGATGGAAAATTTGAGGCTGTCTTCCTTGGATAGAGGATGAATATATTTTGTCTGCAAGGATCATGGAGAACAGGTTTGGTGATTAGAAGGGCAAACTGTGGTAGTGATGCCTTCACCAACTATCTGTGGCTTTCTACTTGCTGGGTGCATGAAAGGGTTATTCAGTACTTCAGTTGAATGGGGTCATGTGACCAGTTCAGACCAATGTATTGTTGAAGGGGGCATTGAATTGCTAGTGCAGGACCTTTCAATGCCTCTGTCAAAATGATCCAGATAGTGGCTACTCCATCTACCCAGTCCAAAATGAGGACAAAGAAGGGCCTGCTAACCCTAGATGCACAGGTTTGTGAATAACTAATCTGTTGTTTTAAACCACTGAGGTTTTGGGTCCAGTGTTAGCGCAGTATTCGGTGGATGCATTTGCATCATTTGAAAATACTGATTGATGCATCCTATGTAGGAAAGCATAAAAACATTATTAAGAATGGAGGCTTGGCATCTAATCTGTAAGGATATATTCTTAGCTCCATCACCTACTAGCTAGAGGACCTCAGGATACTTATCTGTTTTAAGCCTCATCTTTTGTACTTGTGAGACAAGGATAATAACTCTTTTCATTTCCTAAAACCACCCCAAATTACCACAAACTTGGCTAAGCTAGCAGGAATTTATTCTACCATAACTGGGGGCCGGGGCAGATATGGCGGAGCTGTGCACCCTCTGGAGGCTCTGGGAGAGATTATGTTCCTTGCCTCCTAGTTTCTGATGGCTGCCAGCATTCCTTGCCTTGTGGCCACATCAGTCCCATCTCTGCCTTACCTTTACTTCACCTTCTCCTCTTCTGAATGTGTGATCCCCCTCTGTTCTCTAAGGACACTTGAGATTGGATTTAGGACTCCTGTGGATAATCCAGGAGAATCTATCTCTGTTAGATCCTTGCTTTAATCATACTCATAAAGACACTCTTTACTCCTAGAGTAGTGCTTACAGGATTCAGGGATTAGGACCTGATATTTCTGCATGGCCATTCTTCAGGCTACTATAGCAGCTATACCTACCTTAAAGGGTTTTTTAAAAAAAGGATTAAATGAGATAATATACACAAAGTACAAAGCAGTTATTTATTAATATATGAACATATCTTATTTTTCCTAAAATGTTAAGAATTAAGATACTAACTTGTTGTTTCGGAACCCACAGTGCATATAGTAGGTGCCTCATGAAACTTAAACAGCTAGCCTATAACTAGTCTCAGTACTCAGGAGACTGAGGTAGGAGGATCCCTAGAGGCCAGGAATTCAAGACTGACCTGGACTAGATAGTGAGATTTCTCAAAAATAAAGGAGAGAAAATTTAGCGGTATTAATCCCTAAGAACTACCAGTAATCAAGGATCTTGAGTTAGGTACTTACTTGATTGAAAATTATTGTTGCTATAAAACTAATGTTTGGGAGCAGCAACACACACAGGCGTAAAAGGCATAATTTGGGGGGTTTAAACTAAATTGGATGCTGCATACTTTGGCCACAGAGCCCTCTGATATCTGTGTTGTATTTGTAATGAAAAGATAGAATTTCCTTTTTTGTTTTTCAGATATGAAAAGCAGGACCTTGTGCTAAGACATAATTAACTATTCAAAAACACTGTCTTTGAAATACTTGCCTTAGGAAATGGTCAAAATATTATTCAGATTTAGCATATTACAGAAATCTTAGTGTCAGAAATATTACTACTCAGTGGAAGCACAATGAAGAAAAGGCCCTGCAATAAACTATGTTGTGGCTGAGCCTGGCGCTGTTCTTTTACACCATGTTAATACTGATGCAAATTGAGGAGGGTTTCAGTGCCTGGCAGCCCGGGCTCTGGGAATCGCCCCTCCCCCAGTCCTTCCTCTTCGGAGCTCTGCCATTAATCACCACTTGCCTGTCTGGAGATCTCCCACGGTTTGGTCACGGCTCCGAGGTCACAGGCTGTCATTAACATCGATCTGAAAAACAGAACCAAACGAAACAGCCTGAATAATCTTTTGTTGCATTCCTAAACAAACCGTCCTAGATACATAAATAAATAAAATGAAAATGAGGCCAGCTCTGCTCGCTCACATCTTCTTTCCCTTAACAGGGGCAGCACTATTCATAGTCCCTGTGTTGGGCGTCTCCATCATGCGGCCACTCTGCTTCAGAAGACAAAGCTCCCAGACAGCCTCTGGTGGCCCTTTTGTTTTGTCAGGAGCAAATCAAGGAAGGCAAAGCATGATTTCCTCTACACCTGAGCCAAGCAAGCTCTGTTTAAAATAATTTATAATGGACAATGTGATTTAAAAGAAACTATAAGCAGGAAAATCAGTATAGAACATTATATATTTGGCCGATCAATCTATTTACCGACCTATCGCTGATTGATGAGAATGGAAGAAAACCCATATCAAAGAGGCCAGGCACACACCACCTAAGGAGCTCCTTCATTTTCATGGGCTCCACAGAGCTAAGATTTATGGGGGAGAGCCACACTGTTTCCCTCCAGTTTACTACCTGGCTCCCATAATGTTTTATAAGCATTATGAAGAAGAAACATACTCAGCTGCTGCTTTCATTAATTTGAGCACATAAGAAAGCACAGAAATGATCTGAATCAGATTTTTGAGGAACAAATTTAACGAGGATTCACAGTGAACCTTGGAAACACACAAGGGATAATTCAAATTGTAGATAGTTTATAATTCAATGTTATGGGAAGGAGGAAAGTAAGACACTCTTTGTCCCAGGTCAGCTTTCTTTGTATGAAAAGCAGCAATATGTGATGAAAAGTAACACAGGGCTTGAGCTAGGAAGTCACATCTTGGCTGACTGCTTTTGGAAGAAAGGGGTGTGTTGTTAGAGGTCAGAGGGATTATTCCTGCTGTCAGGTGTTAATGTTTTATACCCTGCTGGACCTCCCCTTGGAAACATGTCTGCTGCCCAGATGGTAGAGGGGCCTCTTCTGAGGGGGTCTGTGTAACTTCCTTAGGAAACTTCTCCAGGGAACCAGACAGAGTCACAGATAACACTGGCATTTTAGAAGTGGAGCCCAGAAAAGAGACTAGGCCCAAGAAACAGGCTGAAAGTTGTTTGAGAAGATGATAGCTCAAGTTGTGAAGTTGCTGAAGAAGAAGAAAAAAGACCGAACATAGGTACTTAGGGGGCTGTTACCTATAGAGGGGAGGAAGAATGACTAGGGAAGGACAAAGAGGGAAGGAGGATTGTGAAAGAAAGCAAGAATTCCAGGAGAGCATGGCTTTGCAGACTCTAAGGCTGAAGAGACAGCTAGGGAAGGCCAGGCCAATGCAATTAGGGACTATAGAGTGATTGAAAAAACTGAAGAGAACAAAGACAGTAGGATTTGATACTGGGAGGTGATCAGTGACTTTCAAAAGCAGAAATCCTGTTTCATGGCCTTCATTCCTCAGTAGAAGAATGGATAAATAATCTGTGGTCTCTCCATATTTTGAATTACTGTGCAATGAAAAAGATGATGAGGTATGGACATGAGAAAAATTACAAGGCATACAGTTAAGTGGAAAAGCAAGTACAGATTGGTCTTTAAATATATAATCTATGTTAAAATGAACAAAACTATTTTATGCTAAAGAGTATTTTTCCTAAGGGAACACAGGCATGTAAATACTTTGGCAATCATCTGGAAAGACACAACAAACTGATAACAAAAGGATAGCTGTGTAACCCATATAAGAAGGGGTGAAGCTTAAAGAAGATTGGGGGTATATCTGTAGTGATTTATTATATTATTACCCATGGAATCAAAAATTACATAAAAAATTCCCTTGCAAGAAGATGGGAGTGCAAGTGAAGCGAGGGAGAGAAGGGAAGGAGAAAACCAAGATGATATCTTGGGAAGGGAAGCTTTCAGACATGATGTTTTGATTGAGGAGGTAGAAGCATGCTTTTAAGTCTAGAAAGATCATGAGGGACACAACTGGATTTTGAAAATGGAAGCTAAAGTCAACTGATACAGTGGGGTCAGGGTGGGGCATGGGGAGGTAGCGGCTAAGGATTAGGACGTGGTGGAGGTGCTAGTCTCGAAGAGAGGAAGGCTTTTTCTCTGCTTCCCTCTACCCCCAGGGTTGAAGAAAGAGGCCTGTAAGGTAACATGAAGAAATATCAAAGGAGAGAGGGGAGAAGCAGAGGGCCCGTGGGTGGGATGGCCTCGGAGGCAATGAGTGAGGTGAGCAGTGCAGGGAATGAGAGCAAAGCCCTGTGTTTCCAGGTTGGTGCAGATGTTTTACATCTCAGATACGGGGGCTGGGATAGGGATTTGGCTTGGAGAGATGCCAGCGGCTGCCTGGTTTTGCAGCAGACACTGGGTGCACTAACTCTGGCTTTCCTGGTAACCCCAGCAGCGTGAGGGCAAAAAAAATGAGCCAGCAGGTGTGGGCCTGTGAGGGGGAAAAACGAGGTGTGAGATAAAGAGAAATGGTGCCCGATTTCTGGAGGGCTGCAGAATGTGCCACGCAACAATTACGGTTTGCTGCTGACCTTTCTAAACAAGTCCCATGCAAAGTTTAGAACAGACTCATTACTTCCAGCACCAAAATAATTCCAGCTGGTTTTCTATCCACAAAGTCTATTGTCTCTAAAGAAAAGCAAAATTAGCTCCCTCTTTTCTTTGTGCTTGGGTAACAGTGCTGTCTAGGGTTAAAAAATCCTTTCCTCTCAATTTGTGCTCTTCCCCACCCTCAAGAAAAAGAAGAAATCATGGATGCTTGACACTGAGTTCATTTGGACGTCATTCTTCTTATTTTGAAGGAAGATTTATTGAGAGAAGATAAAATATAATAAATTATAAGACAAAAAGATACATTTTTAATCTTGTCTCTAGTTATTCAACTAATCTTGGGGTGTTGTAAGTGTAGACTAAGATTTGTTATTTTAAAAAATCTGTTATTTTAGGACTGCCAGAAAAATGTGGCTGAATGTTCAAATAATGAAAACACACACACACACACACACACACACACAGAGCTTTTTCTTACCGAAATATATCACGATGGTTTTTGATGTTCCAATCATATTCTCCTTTACTGACAAGTTCAAAGAATTCAGTTCTCCTCCTGCAGAAAAATCAAAGAAGAAAGAAAAGAAAAAAAACCTGGAAATGAAATTTGTCAGTCTGTGAGGTGACATAAACACATTTATTGGGGAAAATATGAGACTACCTGCACCAAGTAACCTAATACTTGAAATCATGAGGTGAAAGCGCAATCAAAATAAATCACTTTTTAAAAAATGTTGAGGCTTCAAGAAAAAGCCACAGTTATTTCTGAATATATTTACAACAGAAAAGATTATAGAGCCATAAAACAGAAAACAATGTGGTCCTGCATTTAGGATTATGTTCTGCGAAGCCCTGTGACACTCACTGAAAGCCAGAGGATGGAGGCAAGGACAAATAAAATGCAGGAACAGTTTCAGAATGTTCTGTTATCATTCAACATAGAATTAAGCTGGATGATGATCCAAGATAAGACATAAACCTACTTGCTGTGGTAAGAATTTGAGACACATGTGTTATGTGTTTGGCACCAAGCATTGTGGTTAATACAAAAACAATATTAATAGTATGACTGCGAATAATACACAATGAATTAAAGGGTGTCTAAGGAGACTGAGGTTCTCTCCCTTCACTGAATAGAAATTAGTCTTCTTCTGAATTATTGTGGAGCAGAAAGTCAAGTTGAGTTTCCAATATTTACTGAACATATATGTACTGTGTGCCAAGACTACTCTAGGTTTTATAGGCATAAGACATGTAAACTACCCTTGAATGTCTTTGAGGTTAGCAGGGGGAGACAACAAATAAATAGGTAATTCCCCCTTCCAATGCCATACTAATGATACTACTAATGATACTGGGACTACAGTGAGATAAGGGAGGCTCTCACCATGGGCACAAAATTTAAGTGCGTGCCAAGATAAATAATAGTAGTAAAAATGTAAAACACCCACCATCATGATGAACAAAATAAGAAAATTTTAAATACAGACAAGATCTGACCCTGCACTTATACAAATGCTCTCAACTTGCTTCACCTTAGTTTCGGTCTTGGTGAACCTAACACCTTCTTGTGTTTCTGGCTGACTTTCTGAGTTCTTACCACTCACATAACTAGGACTCTCAGTCTGGTTGGACTTCAATTTTCTTATTCAAAAAAGAATACAACCTTGATAGATTGCTAGAAAAGTTAAATACAATAGTTAACGTAAAACATTTAGCAGAGTGCCTGGCAAATTAGGAGCTCAGGAAGGATAGTTACTGTTTACCTGGTCCAAAGCCTCACAGCTGGTGAGTGGCAGAGCTGGGGTACAAGTGCAACCTGTTGAAATGACAATTGCTCCAAGTAGCTAAGATACGCCAGGTGTCCTGGGAGCCCAGAGGGAGTTACTTAACTCGGAGGCTCATGGAGGACCATGAAAAGCTTTCTGCAAGAGCCTGTCAGTTATCATCCTTGCCACTCTATGAGTTATTCCAAGTAATCATCAGTATGCCAGCTCCCTAAGGACAGACGCTAGCCCATTTTTGTTCATTCCTAAATCCTCAATGCCTGCAATAGTGCCTGACATGTAGTTGAAACTCATAAATACTTGATAAATTGATGAATGAATGAAAATGATTTGTTCTAGGGGCTTCACAGTTGCCATTTGGAGAGATTGAGATTATAAAACAACATTAAGTTCAAGAAAAGCCCTGTCAGATTCTTGCAGACTGGATTCTAACTGGAACCAAGTTATATGAAATGAGAACACAACTGGCCTCTGATGTTTGTCCTCCACTAACTATTGTTATATCTATTGATGTTCAATGTACAGAACATAACATCTTCAATGCAAAGTGGAGGCACATTACCTAAGTGCTAATCACTGCAGAAAACAAATCCCTTCTTTTAAAAGGCAAATCGTTGACATGACAACTGAACAGCATCATAGGAATAAAATCCCAAATGATGGAAATTTTAATAGCTAGAATTTCTGGTATAAAACTCCTAAATAAATTGAACTCAAAGTCAATCATAGGTTTCACATGACATTAACAATGCTAAATTCCATCACATCAGGAAGAAAGGGAATATCCATTATCCTGAGAGAATGGTAGACAGAAGAGAGATGGGAGGAATTTTTTCTTAAGACATAAAAACATGGTATATTAGTTTGATTTTCCCTCCATTGACAAAGTGTGGCTATTTTTCAGTAGGTTTTCTTTGCTGTGCCAATCCAAGGTTTGGCTATGACCTCAGAAGATAAAGGAACACTCCTGCCTATCATGATTTTATCACGTTAAACACAAGCAGTCTAGTTGCTGGTGAAACAATATCCACCATCTATCTGGGAATATATTTGTCACATGAATAGCTGAATAGATGTTTTACAGTTTAAACTGAGGTACATTAAAATTATTTTAAAAGTCCCTGAAAAAAGTTCTTCTCGACAGATCAGGAGATGGGGTTAATCAGTTTCATAAGGCTGCAGAAAGATTTGGAAGTGATGATGTATAAATCTCACATAACATTTTATGCACACTTAATATATTTTATTTTTATTTATTTATGGATTTTTAGGGTTGTGTGTGTGTGAGACAGGGTCTCGCTATGCAGTTCAGGCTGGCCTTGAACTACTGTGTAGCCCAGGCTGGTCTCAAAGTCACAGTGATTCTCCTGCCTGAGCCTCCTGAGTGCTGGGATCACAGACATGCGCCATCACGCTCGGCAATATTTTAAAAGGTATAAACATTACACAATGGAAACAGAGCTTCCACCCATGACCCAGCGTACAGTAAAGCTCTACCAGTCCTGTCAGGCCTGGGCATCTCTGCACAGTTACTGTCTCCCTCCCACCCACTATAACATGACCATCTCCTAAGGTTTGTATAAATCACCTTCATACATCCTTATAATTTTACAGTGCTATGGAAGTTGTACTTAGTATTGCTCTGCATGTCTTAAAATATTAGGTAATAACATCATAGGGTATATATGCTTTGGCAACTTGCTGTTTTCATTGGATATTTGTGAGATTCATCCATGTTACTATTTATAATTCATGCCATTACTTCTCACTGATGTATAGTAGTGCATGTATTTTAATACTACTGTTTATTTCTTCATTTCCTGATGGTGAAAATTTGGATTCTTTCCAATTTTTTCTGTTATTACATATAATGCTACAATGAACAATCTTGCACATGGGTCTCCTTGTGAATTTGTGAGTTCTGTGTGCATATGTGTGTGTCTGTGTATCCATGTATATGCATAAATTTATGTGTGTATAGATGAATACATGTATATATCAAATTTCCAGGTCAGAGAATGACTTCTGTGTTTGAGTTTTTATTATAGTTAGACTGTGAGAGCTGCGTGGAAATTTTGAGAAAAATCTGCTATAATTCTCTCATTTTAAAGCTAAGGACATTCAAGGTGAAGTGCTTAGTTCTGGGTTCCAGGACACTTACAGGCAGATCCATGTAGGTACTAATTCCCCAGCCTCCCACTTCTAGCTTCTGAGATAATCTCGGTAAACTATGTGCAGCACAAGCCTTTGGGGCCAGGCAGCCTTTTGTGTTGTGAGTTTATGCTCACCCTTGGCTGCCAGCCCTCAGGAGATGTGATGGCTTGGGAGGCTGCTGTGGAGGCAGGGCAACCAAGGCAGATTCCAGACAGAAGTTCATCATTAACAAAGGGACGCTCCAAAGACTAGCTGTAGAAGGCCCAGGCTGGGTTGGTGGTTCATAGCTGCTAGTGGTGTGTTTCTGATTGCCTCCTTCATGACAATCAGTACAAAGCAACAACGGGAAATTCACTGTGCTTTGGGAATAAGTTTGCCCATATAACCGTTCCTTTTAGCATCTATATGTGTATGTGTATAGATTATGCAGTCAAGAGCACAAGCATCTACAGCACTGTTAGAAAGAGGATCATTTTTAGGAACATAGGATGGTTAAAATGAACATTTGAAAAATCCACAAAATTATATAATGCCCCCTGGATCCAGACTCCTTTGTCAAGAGCAGCTATATCGTTAACGTCTCACGTAGATCCTTGGGAACCTGGGTTTTCAAGGACAATAGCAAGTACCTCAGCTAGTGAAAAGCAACTTACTGGAAAATCTCATTTATAATCAAATATGTTTTTATTAGGCTTTTATCCTGCTCTGCTGACATATGTTCCACTCAGAAAAATAGCAGTCTTTAAAAAAGCATCATTTGAACAGAACTGCTAAAATTACCCTCAAAAATAATTTAAAAGATTGGTTACCAGTCAGCCATCACTATATTGAAAATCTTTCTGGTTTGGAATTTATCTGCAAGGTATCTTTTATTTATAAAATGAGAAATCACCATTCCTGTGTGTATTTTAATCAGAAACTTTTTGTAATTATATATATATATGCATGCATATATACACATATCATTATCTATCTATTCATCTAACTGCTCTGCATCCTAAAAGTGCATGAATGTTGAGAAGGCTTTACTGCTAAGTGGAAAATAACACTGTGACTCCTCTGAAATTTCTGCTCCAGACTGGCCAGGGAGGGGTTGTGGGGAATATAGTGGGCAGGGAAGGCAGGTGGATGAAGGAGGAGCTCTGAGCTCTCAATGTTCTTATAGCTTGTTCCACAGGTGAATTATACAACTGCAATTAAGGGCTAAATGCAGATCCTGGAAAGGTTTCTGGACTTTCTACTTAAAAGCAGAATAGAAAGTTAGCGCAAGGAATAGAAAATTAATATGCAGATGTTAACTTCAGTGATTATGACTAATGAAAAAATATATTTCATAAATATATTTTATTTTAATAACCTATATTTAATTTTGAAGTGAATTTTTCCTTTTTTTACCCTAGTACTGATAAGGGCCAGGTGAGATACTGAATAAAATGTTCTGTTTGATGTGGAGCTGGTGTTGATAGCATGAATATAACTGGCAAAAGGCAGGAAATGGAAAGACTAGAATTACTCTAAGTGTTGTAAATGGTAGAAGAATAGGTAACACAAGACTCCAACCATCAGTTCAGTCAAATCATAATCACCAGGGCAAGAAGCTATTTAAGCCACTGCT